CCCCTTGAAAAAGGAGGGGAGGAGAAATTTTGATATGAGAATTTAGAGACAACCGAGGATCGATTACTCTGATACCATGCTAAAATATGAATATGGTTTTTGAATATGTTAGGTTCTTTTTTTATTCTTCTCCATAAAGAGGTATATATAAGAGTTTACATGAGTACTTTATAAGGAATTAGATCCAGTAAAGAATTAGGAAAGTATCTCCTAATTATACAATAATTTGACAACTATATAAAATAGGAAAGTAAATCCCTTAATTAATCAAGGAAATAAATCTCCTTAATTAATTAGGAGACTCACTTCAACACAAGTAGCTTTGATATCCTTCATGGTCATTCAAGAGCTACAATGTTTCTGATAGCTAACAATGCAGCACAATGAATTCTGTCCTCTTTTTTCTTCAAATATGCAGGTTATTTATCTGCAATAGCAACTCCAGGTGTAGGAGTCATGCCAATTTGTGTATGGACACGTTTCCTGCTTTGAACAATTGATTCTCTAGAAGGAAATTTGATATTTGAAATTTGGTGACATGGAGAACAATTGATTCTCTAGAAGGAAATTTGATATTTGAAATTTGGTGCCACTCTTCCATGTCGACCCCTTCATCACCACTTATACCTCACAATAAATAGATGAAGAAAATAGAAAAGGAAACATGGAGCCTCCAGTATGAGTTTTGGGGGGTGGGGTCGTTGGGTGAGAGGCTAGTTGTTATTATGAAGGAGAAATTCATGGAAAAATAATTTGTTTCTTTTTCTTCATGATGGTTACTAATGTAGTTCTTGATTAGGCCAAAGGATTCCTTCATGAGACATCCACATTATTTGATCGGTCGGAAAAGAACGTTCCTTTATGTCATAAAATGTCAACCTGAAACTGGCATAACTGGCTTTTTTCTGTGCATAATCAGGCTTTGTTTTTTGCTTATTGTTGTTGTTGCAGGTTGGTTTTTTTTTTCTTTGAAGGAATTCTTTTGGCAGGAATTTAACAATACAAGAGATAAGCAAGGTTCCTCAAACATTCAATAAATTAAGGGCTTCTTAGATCTAGATCCAAAAAGATTAGCTGTTATTGTGGTTTTAGATGTAGGTCCTTTGACATTTATTACTTTTTTTGTTGTGTTGATTTTACCTTTTGAGGTAAATAAGGAAAACACATTGAAAATCTAAATTTAATGCATTATTTCCTTGTAATTGAATTCTAGAATTTAAATTTTGAATTCTTTCCTTGATAATATTCTTAATATATTGATAAAATACAATTTAATCAATAAAAAATAAAGACCCACATATTATACCAATCGATCAGACAAGCACTCACATTAAATTATGTACTTGACATACAGGTAAATAGTGTTATTATTACCAACGAAAAATACTTAATGATAAATCGTGTTACTTATAAGTTAGGAACATAAATTAGAAGACTACCTATAAGTTAGATGCAAAAATAGACTAAATAAAAGTGTATGTCACCTATAAAAAAAAAGGTACATAAAATACTATTACACATTGTCAAAAATATGAAAAAACATATATATACCTATGCAATAGGCAATAGGCAATAGGCAATTTGACATAAATCACTATTACCCAATTCAAGTCATAAGGGGCAACATTGGAACAAAAAATGATTTTAAAAATAAAATAATATAAAGATTACATAATAAAATATTAAAATAGGAGTGTAATTTTATATGACACAAAAGTCAAAGGACTTGGATCAAAGTCACTAAATCCAAGGATTAAACCCAACTCTTCAATAAGAATTTGGATCTATATCAACTTTTCTAATAAATTAATCTGAGAAGAAATACTTTTCTACTGTTTTCGGGGATCCCTTTCCCAAGTCGTAGGGTTTCCCTAAGTTGTTGTGTTGTGTAAAGCAGTTTATATAAACGAATTCGGAGTACACGTGCTTTTGAGTGATCCCAATTTAGTTCGTTAACAAACGGAAACCATTCAAATTGTATCTCTCAATCTCTATTCAACAGCTTTTGTATCCAATTAGGCCAGGAAGAATAATAATAGTGGCATGATGTTCGTCTTAAGAGACAAAGTAAGTAGCCCGTGAGGTTGGATTATATCAGCACGCCATGAAAATGGACCAGAACATTCAGAGGCGCATTTTGACCCATGAAAGATGCAAAAGTTGAGCAAAGCCATTAGCCTGAGTCGTAACTTTCAACACCAACCACAAGTACGTAAGCCATTTGCCATTGCGAGATGAGGGAAAAGCAAACCAAAGACAATCAGATCAATCTCAACGTGGGGCAACCCAAACATTTGACTTACGAGATTGTCAGGTGGTGATCAGGACTTTCCAGCTGTAACTATTCATTTTAATTCACCTGCTTCTGTAGAAGAAGAAGATCATTACACAGGTTCCATCATTTCCCAAATATTTTCTATATTTGTATTTATTTATATACTTCTTAGTGCTTATCAAATGCTTTAAATATTAAGTAAACGTGAGTTTGTACCAATTGGGCAGAATAGTGTATATCCGTCCTTTTATTTCAAAGCTCGAATTTCCTTATTCCGTAATATAATTTTGTAAAAAATAAAAATAAAAAGGTTCAAGTATATAAAAATTTAGAAATCCAGCGTACACAATTTTTTTAATTTAAATTATTAGGAGAAATTTAAGTTTTGTAATGCTAATACCTAATTGGTACAAATTATTCAAGGCTGGATATCTTTACTGGTTTTCCTCCCAGTCACCGATTATAATGAATAATTAAATAGTAATCAAAACTAGATAACATTTATTTTGGTTTTGTAATCAAACTGCATAACAACATTTCATGATGGGGCTCCAAACAATATTCTCAATAATACTTGTTTTGTTTTTGTTTTTGTCTTGTATTTATTTTATTTGTTATATATTTTCAGCTTAATATATACTTAAGTTTATTAATCCCGGCAGGCCAAGTGACTGGATTTTGGAATATGGTAGTTTGCAAGGCTGCTTCCAAGTAGACGACAGGTCGTGTGGATCCCACAATCCCACTGACTCTCTTAAGGTTCATTGATCTACAGCCACTTTCTAACATGGCAGGCTGCCTGCCTGGTACCCAATAATATACGTACCATTCTCATCATGTCATATATCTGGAGTCAAATTCCCCTTAGCAGAGACGACAAGAAGCATGAGGCAACAAGCAAAAAGGCTGACAAGCCACTATGTCTTCGTCTTTTAGCTCTGCAAATCTTCTGGTTTTAGAACTTTAGATCCTCTGTTTTTTGCCACTGCAGAAAAGTGTGTTCATGGTGATTGATCAGTGAATGGAATGTGTAACGTGTCTATTTTTTTTCTCAATTAGGAGGTTAGTTTTCCTTCTCTTTGTTTTTTTTGGACGAAGGAGAATCGAAAATAGAACCTTGGAATGACGGTTTGGTTTAATTTTCGAAGGTGAATGTATGATAATAACATTTACGCGAGGCAAGAGCAACAAATTGAACGTGAATGTCTTTCTTTATTGCTAAATTAATCATCAGTGCCTAGAGCACAGGAAGGGCCAAGAAACATGATATTCTCCTCACAATAAATAGAAGCCAATCAAACAATTAAACGGCCAAAGCACTCACTATACAATCACAAATTAAGAGACCCCAAGTGGGAATACTGAAAAATGAAACTGTGACAACCAAGCTAATTCCAAGACCCTGCTGATAAATTAAACCCTCCAATATTGCCCACTTTCCCATTTAATCTTGCTTGGTTCCCAACTTGAAGAATATAGTAAAATCACGTGCAAGATGGCCACCAACAAAGTAGAAACACACTGGTCTGAATTGCTGATGTTGTAGATCATTGAAGTTTCTGCCAGACCCTTATTGAATGGACTTGGATTGGAAGCTTGATGCCTCAATTTTCCACTTTGGGAGCCTTCCTTTATTCCACTGTTTAAATTAAAACCTGCAATTGCAATTGGAAATTAATAACCCAAAACTAAAATGGTTTGATGATAATTGCAAATGTAAATGATAGCAAGAGACAATGAAGCTTTTCACTTACATGATCGGTCTATGCTTAATAGTGAATTGGAGGTGGGGGAGATGCATAAATGTAAACCGGTGGTGGTGGTGACTTCACAGGAGGTGGAGGGGATTCGTACATGTAAGGGGGAGGAGGAGATGGTGATGGTGGTGGGGGAGAGGTGTAGTGGTAGGGGGGAGGAGAAGAGTGTGTGGGGGGTGGTGGAGAGATGTATTTGTATGGTGGTGGAGGCGATGGCGATGGTGGTGGGGGAGAGGTGTAGTGGTAGGGGGGAGGAGAAGAGTGTGTGGGGGGTGGTGGAGAGATGTATTTGTATGGTGGTGGAGGCGATGGCGATGGTGGTGGGGGAGAGGTGTAGTGGTAGGGGGGAGGAGAAGAGTGTGTGGGGGGTGGTGGAGAGATGTATTTGTATGGTGGTGGAGGCGATGGCGATGGTGGTGGGGTGAAGGTGGTGGTGGGGATTTGTAGTAGTATGGTGGTGGAGGAGAGGGAGATGGTGGTGGGGGAGACTTGTACAAGTATGGAGGTTGTGGTTTGGGTGATGGTGGTGGAGGTGACTTGTAGTAATATGGAGGTGGGGGAGAAGGTGAAGGTGGTGGAGGAGATTGGTAATAGTATGGGGTTGGTGGTTTGGGTGATGGTGGGGGAGGAGACTTGTAGTAGTATGGAGGTGGAGGAGAAGGTGATGGTGGTGGTGGGGACTTGTAGTAGTATGGTGGTGGAGGAGAGGGAGACGGTGGTGGGGGAGACTTGTACAGGTATGGAGGTTGTGGTTTGGGTGAAGGCGGTGGAGGTGACTTGTAATAATATGGAGGTGGGGGAGAAGGTGAAGGTGGTGGAGGAGACTGGTAATGGTATGGGGTTGGTAATTTGGGTGATGGTGGGGGAGGAGACTTGTAGTAATATGGAGGTGGAGGAGAAGGTGATGGTGGTGGTGGGGACTTGTAGTAGTATGGTGGTGGGGGAGAGGGAGATGGTGGTGGGGGAGACTTGTACAAGTATGGAGGTTGTGGTTTGGGTGAAGGTGGTGGAGGTGACTTGTAATAATATGGAGGTGGGGGTGAAGGTGAAGGTGGTGGAGGAGACTTGTAATAGTATGGGGGTTCTGGCTTAGGTGATGGTGGTGGGGGAGACTTGTAATAGTATGGAGTGGGTGGTTTGGGAGATGGTGGAGGAGGAGACTTGTAGTAGTATGGGGGTTCTGGCTTAGGTGATGGTGGTGGGGGAGACTTGTAGTAGTATGGAGTGGGTGGTTTGGGAGATGGTGGAGGAGGAGACTTGTAGTAGTATGGAGTGGGTGGTTTAGGAGATGGTGGAGGAGGAGACTTGTAGTAGTATGGAGTGGGTGGTTTGGGTGATGGTGGCGGAGGACTCTTGTAATAGTATGGAGGTTGTGGCTTAGGGGATGGTGGTGGAGGAGACTTGTAGTAGTATGGAGGGTGTGGCTTAGGTGATGGCGGAGGAGGAGACTTGTAGTAGTATGGGGGTTCTGGCTTAGGTGATGGTGGAGGAGGAGACTTGTAGTAGTATGGAGTTGGTGGTTTGGGTGATGGTGGTGGAGGACTCTTGTAATAGTATGGAGGTTGTGGCTTAGGTGAAGGTGGTGGGGGAGACTTGTAGTAGTATGGAGTGGGTGGTTTGGGAGATGGTGGTGGAGGAGACTTGTAGTAGTATGGAGTGGGTGGTTTGGGTGATGGTGGTGGAGGACTCTTGTAATAGTATGGAGGTTGTGGCTTAGGTGATGGTGGTGGAGGAGACTTGTAGTAGTATGGGGGTTGTGGCTTAGGTGATGGTGGAGGAGGAGACTTGTAGTAGTATGGGGGTTCTGGCTTAGGTGATGGTGGAGGAGGAGACTTGTAGTAGTATGGAGTTGGTGGTTTAGGTGATGGTGGTGGTGGTGATTTATAGTAGTATGGAGTTGGTGGCTTAGGTGATGGTGGAGGAGGAGACTTGTAGTAGTATGGGGTTGGTGGCTTAGGTGATGGTGGTGGTGGTGACTTGTAAACATACGCCGGAGGTGGTGGTGACTTGTAGTAGTAAGCGGGTGGTGGCGGCGACTTGTAGTAGTACTTGGGCGGTGGTGGAGGCGGTGACTTGTACACGTAAGTAGGCGTAGGCGGAGGCGGAGACTTGTAAACATAAGGAGGAGGATGATGTGGCTTGCTCTTTTCACACTCCTTGTAAGGAGTCTTCGGTGCATAAGCAAATGGCTTAGCCGAGAGCACAACTTCGTCGTCAGTCTTGGACTTCACTTTGAGTTTGGCACCCTTGTTGCCCCAATGTAGCTTAGTTGGGATATTGCATGGCGAGCCCTCGGGTGCTGCATGGAGCTTGGCCTTGCAAGCCTTAGCTCCATACATGCCATAATCAAAGTCAGGGACAGCGATGCTGAATTTGCCATTGATCTTGGTTTTGCCATATGCCTTGATTTCCTTCTTGCCAGCCCAGCAAGTGACCTCAACAACAGCACCTGTGGTCCATAATAAAAATAATAATTAATCAACCAATCATGTTGGTATTTATTGGAACTTTCTCTTTACGAGAACAGTCGCTTTAAGACAAACAAAAAAACTATATCCTAATGGAGAAGTTAAGTAATCAATGATTTTGTTTTATTATATGAATGTGCTGGATTTCAATACCAAATCCCTATTTGAAAAGGACCATGTGGACCTTAGACTTCATCTGCTGGGTAACGAAAACTCCAAGTTGTTCTTATTTAATTACATTAGTTTGAAAATTATTAGCAAAAATAATGTAAATTAATTTTTAAATCTCTTAATGCATATGCAACGCAAAACTAAAGCACAACATGTGAATTTAATCATTACACTGTCTTTTTATTTTATTTTTATTTTACTTTATATATATTAAACAAAGTTAGGCATCAGATTGGAAGGACCATCTGCTAGCAGATTTGAAAAACATCTCTTTCTTTCAAATGAGGAAAAGGGACCAAGACACTAAAGCCAATAATAATTACAAAATATGCGGAGAAAATTAATTATAGATAAAAATGTACCTTTGAGGTGCTTCTTGTCGTGGGACTTCACCGGATAACCCCAGTCGTAGCATCTGTAGCAGTAGACCTTTCCGACAACCTTCGTCACGAATGGATGGTGATGTGGGTGGGGATGGTAAGGAGTAGGTGGTGGAGGAGAAGTGTAGTAGTATGGAGGTGGAAGAGCCTTGGGTGGTGGTGGAGATTTGTAGTAGTAAGGCGGTGGTGGAGATGGAGAAGGCGGCGGTGGAGACTTGTAGTAGTATGGGGTTGGTGGTTTAGGTGATGGTGGTGGTGGGGATTTGTAGTAGTATGGGGTTGGTGGCTTAGGTGATGGTGGTGGTGGGGATTTGTAGTAGTATGGGGGTGGCTGAGGTGATGGTGGTGGTGGAGACTTGTACACATAAGGCGGTGGTGGTGACGGAGATGGGGGTGGTGGAGAGTTGTAGTAGTATGGGGGGGGTTTAGGTGATGGTGGTGGTGGAGACTTGTACACATAAGGCGGTGGTGGTGACGGAGATGGGGGTGGTGGAGAGTTGTAGTAGTATGGGGGGGGTTTAGGTGATGGTGGTGGTGGAGACTTGTACACATAAGGCGGTGGTGGTGACGGAGATGGGGGTGGTGGAGAGTTGTAGTAGTATGGGGGGGGTTTAGGTGATGGTGGTGGTGGAGACTTGTACACATAAGGCGGTGGTGGTGACGGAGATGGGGGTGGTGGAGAGTTGTAGTAGTATGGGGGGGGTTTAGGTGATGGTGGTGGTGGTGAAGGTGAAGGAGGTGGAGGAGATGTATAGTGGTAAGGTGGAGGCGGTGAAGGAGAAGGTGGTGGTGGAGACTTGTAGTGGTACGGAGGTAGTTCTTTTGGTGGAGGAGGTGGAGACTTGTACAAATAAGGTGGTGGCGGTGAAGGAGAAGGCGGTGGGGGAGACTTGTACTCATAAATCGGTGGTGGGGATGGTGATGGTGGTGGTGGAGACTTGTACACATAAGGCGGTGGTGGTGACGGAGATGGTGGTGGTGGAGATTTGTACACATATGGCGGTGGTGGAGAGTGAACAGGAGGTGGTGGTGAGCTATAAACATAAGGCGGTGGTGGTGGTGAAGAGTAGGGATAAGCATTTGCTTCTACTGAACCCACATTGCTTGAAACCACAACTAGTATAGCTGCTAATGCCACTGCCATTTGAGGCCAAAGACGACCCCAAGAGGGGCCGCCACCCATTGTCGTCATGGGTTTTGTTAGAGAGCTACTCGGCACCTCGGCTCAACGTCTCAAAATTTCACAAATTTTCTCTGGAAAATTGGGGATGAAGAGAGAAAATTTGCTCAAGGCTAGAGGAGCCTTGGATGACTTTTTTGGTTTTTGAGGGGGGAAGGGAGTGATGATTTGGTACATGCATGAAATGGTGAGTTTTATAGTGACAGTGAGTCGTTGAGAGAGAGCTGTCATAAAGGACTAATTCTATTGGACTCTCTTAGATTAATACATCCAATTGGGTCACTCTAGCTGGCCTTACCTATTTTATTCCAATTGTTCAATTTTGTTTAATTAATTTTGGTTGATAATGCTAAAATATTAATACATTCATGTTACTTTTTTATAATTCCACTTCTTGGGCTCCTTCTCTTGTCTATGAATTTTGAAACCAAAAAGACAAAAAAAAGGAGAAAAACAATAGGAAGAAGAAAGAGAAGTTTATGTGGACAAACCCTATCAATGATGAATTGATGATGTCAGACTGGTCCTTGGTGGCGCCTATTGCAGCCGTTGGATCAAATCCTCACTTAATCATCAATGTATTTGGTATTATAGTCAACCTTTCTGAAAGTTTTTAATATCAGGAAATGGTGAGATCTGATTTGCGCCGTCCAGTTGTTGCTAGAAAATGCCATGTGAAGCTTCCATATAACATGCATATATGTCAGTTTTTCTCTTCTTCTTATTTTTTTTTTCAAATTCTTTGTTCTTGATATATATATTATTCTATAAAATTAATTAATTATGAAATTGTCTGAGCAAAAGAGATCAAAAAGCTAAAGTAAATCAAAAAGGCCAATAATGAAGAACCTAACCAAGTTGGTGGCAAGTTAAACAAAAGCAAAACAAAAAGAATATTGCAAGTTCATGGCAGCCCCCCCTTAGGTAAGAAGAAGACTTGAGAATTTGGTAATTTTTTATTATTTTAAAATGTATATGATTCTGTACCCAAGTTCGAAACCCCATTTCCGTAATTTAGTTTAGATTAGATTGCTTGTATATAAAAAAAAAATGCATTTGATTTTTTACAATTATGCCAACAACATGTGAATTTCAATCGAGTGGGCTTTTGCAGCTTTTGTAGGTGAAATAAGCTACAAACAAGAGTGTAAAAGGAAAAAAGAAAAAGAAAAAGAAAAAAGGGCTATATATACAAAGAGAATTATTGTGATTCGAGATGAATTTTTTCGTGCAAGAAATAATAATTCATGCTTCCTTCGAACATGAAAATAGATGCCCCCTACGAACATGAAAATAGATGCCCCCTACTGGCATGAAAATGACCTAGCTTACTAGACCACCCATAAAGGATGTTTCTTGAAAATTTTCCTTTCTATTTTCCTTTCTCTTTTCCTTTTTCTTTTTCTTTTTTTTTCCCCCCAAAATGGGCACTTGGGGTTTGGTTGACTTCACCTTTCTGTAACACTTAAATCATCCATTAATGGACTATAGGTTAGAGATCAAATCACAGGCAAAATGGGAATTAAACAATTTAATATTCAAACATCCATCTAATTCCACCATAACTATATGGTCTGTGACCACAGTGGATCAATTTTAGGGGGGCGGTGGGTAATTAAGAATAGTGGTTGGAAACATACCCAAGTGCACATGGTAGAAGAAACATACTAAAATCCAACAATTTCAATTTTTATTTTATTTTTTATTTTGCTTACAAGTCAAGCTTTTCAAGTATATTTCAAAAGATAAAACATACAATAAGCAAAGTCTTTGAATCATCATAAAAAAAACCACTCGTATAGTGGTTCGGAGCAATTGCCCCCAATCAGTTTAGTATAACTAGAATATTCTACGTCGTCTTCTGCATGATATAAAATGCAAAACTAGTACAATGTCACTTTTGTTGGTACACTGCCCCCCAATCAGTTCACTATAACTGGAAATACTTGCGGTCAAAAACTACAATTAGGGTTAATTGAGTGTTGCAATGAGCATCAAGAAAATGTTGTAAAAGTTAAAAACCTATCCCTTCACTCTTTTTGACTATTAAATGCCGTGTGATGGAACAACTCCGAAAAAGTCTAAATAGAACAAATGTTGAAGATTGGGTATGAGTTGTTGAGGCCAAGCAAATTAATAAATAAAATAGCAACCCTTCTTTTTGCTCTCATTGTGACTGTTTGGAAATGGAATATTAAGACCACGAGGAAAAAGGAGAGCCCCTACCAAATGGACCAACTGGTTATGATGTTGAAATCATAGAGTAAATGAGAGAGAAACAGAAAGAAAGAGTTACCAATTTTGAGTAGCTAATTATGCTAAGATCTTTAAAGGACCACATCATGCATCCACCTGCTCTTGTTTCCCAAACCAGTTTAGGTATGGAGGCATAGATTGTATTTTATTGGCATACATTAATGGTTTTATGTGCTTCATAGTTGGTTATACTATTACTATACTAGATGATTTGAATTCACAGCTAGCTCTGTTAGTTATGAAATTAACACAACTGTATTTTTATACAATTGTATCTTCAATCGTTGCGACGACGATTCATTCGATGATTAAAATTGTGTAAAAAGTTCGTAGGTTTTTTTTCTAATTCATGAGTGGACCCATAAACATATAATAGGTAGTATTCTCTTAGCATATACTTGAAACACATTTATTTAATTCTAACTATTTGAGTCGACACATGCAGATCTAGAGTGGTCATGGCCCCTTCAACCAATAGCAGGTCTGGAGTGGTCATGGCCCCTTCAACCAATACGTGATTCGTTCTTGGCACATTCAAAAATTGTTTTTTTTTAGCTTCGTCTCTGATTCAAGTATTTAGTATGTTTGTAGTGCCAAAATTACTATTCACCTAAACAAAAATCTATGTAATTACTAGTTTATATTCACAGTCGACAGTCCAACAACATAAACAATTTTCTCATAAAAAACGCATAGAACTTTCATTCTAGAAGAAGGAAATAGTAATACTATGGGCATGACATAACATATTTAACAAATTTCTATTTTTAATTTACAAATTGACCAAGGAGCTTATGTAGCAATCAAGAAAGTTTTACATATGTCGAATATTCGAATGTGTGGAAGTATAATCCAAACACCAAACACCATAATCCATAATCTGCCGCTTCAACTTCAAAAGCTTCTATTGCCTTTAGAATATTTATCCAATAAAAAACTACACCTGGCACAATAACGACACCTGGCCAATTGCAAGATAATAATCAAGAAAAACCAAACAAAAAAAAAACTTCAAGTCCTTCTCATTGATTATTTTTGTAATTAGCAAATGGTTAAGGATAATTTAATAAGTTTTTGTTTTATGTTGAATTTTCTTTAGATTTTTTATTTATTTTAAAAAGTCTTGAATTTTGAGTAAGGGAGCTGATTTTCCCACTCCCATTTTCTTCGCTTACATTACCTTTTTTTTCAAAATATTTTTAATCACTTTTGTTCTTTCTCTTTCCTATTCTATCCTTACCTTACTTCTCTTTTATATTATTTCTTTTTCTTTATATTTAATTTTCCTACTTACGTAAAATCATTATTCACGCGCTCTACGCGCTATGTAAAATCATTTTATTTGTTATTTTTCCGCAATTGTATAGAAGGGGCCTCATTTAGTTTATTGCCTAGGGCCACACAAAAGTCAGGGCCAGTCCTAGCGGAGCCACAACAAGACTTGCCATGGCCCTAGGCCCCCCTCCCCCAAATTTAATTTTCAAGGGAGCTGATTTTCCCACTCCCCTTTTCTCCACTTACACTCTATTTTGTTTTTTAATATTTTTTAATCACTTTTATTCTTTCTCTTTCCTATTCTACCCTTATCTTACTTCACTTTTATATTATTTCTTTTTCTTTATATTTAATTTTCCTACTTACACTTCATTTTTAATAATTTTTTTTTTCAATAGATATAGAATTCTTTAAAATTAATATATTACAAAACAAAAACAAAATATTTTCCCCAGCCCCAATAACCCCCTCTCTTCGTCAACCCCCTCCTCCTCCCATCTCTGCACTCCAGCCCCACCGTCCTACTACCACCCACACCATCCACCACTGCATTGCCCCCCAACCCCAACAACATCAATGGCTCGCTCTCCCTCGACTCCTTTTCTCTACCCCTCTCTCTGCAAATTAAAAAACAACATCAGTCAAAATAATGCTTTATTCCCACCAAATTCTCAAAAGTCTCTGACTTATTGTCCTTCCTTGTAACATTTTTGCTAAGTGCTAACAAAGAGAAATTTATAATGCTCGGGTCTGAAGCTTTTTGCTTCAAGTAAGGAGCTTTACACTCTGTGATTCAGCTCAACCAATTCAAGTTTTTTTCAACCTACCCCCATGCGGCACCCCACACAGCCACCCACCCACCAATAGAAATCGTTGCCCCAACGCAGCCACCCACAAACGATCTTACCGCCCCACTGATAGCCACACTCAAACCCCAAAACTTTTAAAAAAACGTGGATGGTTGTTGAAGAAAGAGGGGGAAAGAGAGAAAATGAGGAGGGGTGGGCTTGGTTGTTGTCGAATAAAGAGGGGAAAGAGGGGGAGAGAGAAGACGGAGGGGTGGGTGCGTAAGGGAGAAGAGAAAGACCGTGGCTGGGGTTTGGGATATTAATTTTTTTTTTTGGTTTAAAAATATTATTTTTAAAGAATTCTTTATTATTTTTTTCACACATCAACACCAAATTGGGTATCTCACTTGCCACATCACCAAGGGTAAAATAGGAAAGAGAAAGAACCAAAAAGAAAAAAATTGATTACAAAATATTAAAAAACATAAGGGGATGTAAGTGGAGAAAATGGGAGTGGGAAAATCAACTCCATTGAGTAATTGCTTTCTTAGAAAAAGATTTTGTGTTCGAGTCCTAACATCCGTATAGTGTGTGTATATTTAGTATATTATCGCCCCTTTCAATAAAAAATATTTTATTAAAGATAAGTACTTTAGAACAAAATCCAACCTAACGGATTCGAACCAGCAACTTAACGTTAAGTGAAACTCCAAAACCTACAAATTGTGGTCCTCTCTCTCTACCAAGTGCTGTTGTGTTCTTGCTTGTCGAATTGAAAAGGGCCACCAAATTAAATTTAAATTAATTAATTTGGTGGATTGTGGTTGAAGCAACCTTAATTTAAGAAATTTTAATTATGTCCTCTATTCACATATA